TATAAGAGACAGTTATAACACGATAAAATCTCTGGTAAAGTACTCTTGAGAAGTTCTTAAGAACTTCTTATTTGAATAATGACCCTATTAAACTCACGTAATAAATTAATTTTTTTAGAGAATGAAACAACAGACTCGCACGACTGAGTTTCAAGAAATGGAATCTAAAATGCAAGAGAAAGATCTTATTAATCAGAATCTGGAGGAGCGCATCAGATTGTTACAAACTCGTATAGTTACTGCTGCTAATCGCAACAACTCGATATCGTTCAAGAATAAGGAAAAAAGGAGGCAGACTTGGGGCGGCGGTGGATTTAATAAATTGAATGCGTCTCTACCAATGTGCGCGAATTTATCACCGATCAAGGAGATGTCACCTGTTAAATTGTATAAGAGAAAATCAGCTAATATTGCGGATACAAGTAAGTTAAACTTTTTACACGATGCGAACAGATTTGATGAAAAGAAGTATATAACTTGAAGCTATATATGAATATCGTTCTTACAGCCTTCCAAATAGCTTTTACTGATTTTGAGCTGGAGCTTATAAAAAGTGAAGCGGATCGTAACGAAGACAACGACGATAGCGATGAGGATATGCCATTTGTGACGTATCGTAGTCATCGCGTTAAGTTTAAGGACAGTATAATTTTTCACAAATCACCTACGAACGACGGCAACGATAGCGCCACATTTGAGAAAATTGACGTGTCTACTCAGACTGCGAGGTAAATAGTAAAAAAAATTAATTTACTTTAAATTGATTGTTTGGACGATTATATTTTAATCATTCGTATTTATTGTAACTAGCGATCAATCACCCGGTACGCCGAAGCACATCCTGCGTAACAGAATTGTGTACAATGTCGAGCAAATCCGTAACTTGGAGGCACAATATTCAGAGCTTGAAGAGTTTACAACCTTGGAGAAGCAGCTGAGTGCCGAAGACCGTTTTTCGGAATTCGAGGCGAAACTCACGAAGAAGTTTGAGAAGCAACTGGAAAATATCACATCGGATAAGAACGCATTCGAGCATATAGCTTCTGAACTTCGTAAGAAGTTAACGGCGGCTGAATTACGTTACACTGAGGCGGAAGATCAATTGAACTTGCAAGCAGCGGAGCTGCACAGGATACCGGATTTGGAGAAGAAAATCACGCAGTTGTCCGCGCAAGAGATCGAGGTGCAAAACGTTCCAGAGCTACGAAAGCAAGTAACCCTTCTTACAGCTGAAAAAGATGGGTACGAACACGTCGCGTCTGAATTACGAAAGAAACTCAAGGAAGCCGAACAACGCAATATTTTTCTGGAAGAAAAATTAACGTCACGGAATGAGGAATTGCAGGAACCACTTGTTCAAATTTCGAATGACGAGACTGTTTCTTCCGAAAGAGACGAACTGCAAATCAAAATAACTGATCTTTCAAGTAAGCTGGCGGAAGCGGAGTTAAGCAATAATTCGATAAAAGGTAAACTGGAGGAGCAACTGCAAATGCTGCAAAATCTTCAGCAGGAAAAGAATGTATTTGCTTCTGAGATGCAAAATAAATTGAGAGAAGCGGAAGAAATCAATAACTCTCTGAGAGATAAATTAAACGAGCAGCAGCTAGAGATCCAGAAAGTGGAAGATAAGGAGAAGCAGATTGCGCAACTTGAATCTGAGAATCACAAATTTAAACTTGACATCGAGAAACTTCAAGAGCAGCTAGTAGTAAGTGACACGAAGATAGATAAGATGCACGAATACCAGCGAGATTTAGATAAATTTCAACAACAGGAGGCTGTCGCAAAAGAAAAAATGAATGAATTGGAACAAATTAATGGCGAGTTAAGAGACCAACTCAAAGAAGCAGAATTAACGAATGATTCGATGAGAAATAAATTGGACGAACAGAATTTATGTATGCAAAAGACCTGCGACTTGGAAAACCAAGTTGAAATTCTTGCTGTCGAGAAAAATGAATTTAAAGGTATAGTTAGTGAATTGGAAGAGAAGCTGAAAGAGGTAGAATTAGCAAACAATTCACTGAGAAATAAACTGAATGATTATGAAGCAAGTCAATGTGAAACTGATAGTTTAGAGGTTACAAACAAAATTCTTACGTCAGAAAATAACTCCGAATTGATCATTTCCGAGTTGGAGGAGAAATTAAAGGAAGCAGTATTGTACAATAATTCCATGAAGGAGGAATTAAATGTATGCCAAGTAGAAGCGCAAAAAACGATTGAGGAGCACAGAAAATCTATTGAGAGTTTTGCAGTTGTAAGAAGCGAATTGGAAGATGCGGTTCGTCAACTTCAAGAAAAGTCGAAGGAAGCAGAACACAATGACAATTTGATGAAGGCTAAAATAAATATCCTAGAATTGCAGTTGCAGAAGAGTCATGATATGGAAAGAGAGATTGAATGCCTCACGTCGCAAACAAAAGAGTACGAGTCGATGGTTCACGAATTGAGAGAGAAACTGGCCGATGCCCAACACTTGCCAATTTCAGCAAGAGGTGAGTCAAATGGAGAACTACAAAATGGAGAATCGCAGAAGGTTCAAGTGGATGCGGAAGTCGCAAGTCCGATAGCTGGAAGAGATGAACAGGACGCTGTAGGATTGAGTAAAAAATCGTCGAAGAGTCCCGGAATGGAATTCTCGGTGAGTAGAAACGAAATTAATCATCTAACGAGTCATATTAATTACTTGCAAAATATTTGTGGTTTACAGAATGAGAATGCATACCTGAAGGAACTGGCGGCGAAAGTATCGATGTCGGACAACGAATACGACCAGAGCAACGGCGATTTGTCGAAAGTCACGGACGATTTATCGATTACGAGGATGTCTCTGGACGAGGATAGCGCCAAGCTGTCCGCCGATCTTGTTCTAAAGAATCAGGAATTAGACGAGATAAAGCACGATGTGCGGAGCTTGAAGGCGGATATAGGACAGTTGCAGCAGACTATATATATATTAACGACCGAGAACATCGAGCTGGCAAATAAATTGTCGGCGGAGAAGGAGTGCAACGAGAAATCGTCTGTTGAAACGCAGCGGACCATCGACGAGCTTTACGCGCGAAACTCAAAGATAGTGGATGAAAAACTCGAACTTGAGAATAACGTGGCAAATCTTAACGAACATCTGGAGACCCTTCGCGCGAGGATGCCCGAGATGAACTTTAACGAGGAGCAGATAATTCACAAGTACGAGAAACAGGTCAGCGAGTACACGGCAAAAAATATGGAACTGTTGTCCGAGCTCGCGGACAAAACGAAAGAACTCGAGATGTTGAGGGAGAGCAAGTCGCTTCTGTACGAGCACGATTGTATGTACAAAGATAAATTAGCGGATCTCATGCAGAAGCATGAGTATTTGATAACTGAAAACAATGAACTTTCCACTGATCTGATGGAGAAGATCGAGGAGAACGAGGAATTGAAACAGGAGTGTGACAGTCTGACGAGCAAGCTGGAATTGTCACTGAAGAATAAGGTGAGCACTGGTAACGACGATGCGGAGCAGCTGAGAACGGAGAATACTCTGTTGAAAACCGAGCTGATGGAGCTGAAAACCAAAGCGAAACTTTTAACCGAAGAAAACGCGAAAATGTCCAGTCAATTAATGGAAATCCTGGAGGATCTAGATAATACGCGAAAGTCCAACACTTGCAACGACACCATGCATCTGTCGACATTGTATAACACTACCTTGACCGATGCGGCGGATAAGGCTGCGTTAGACGACACCGCCGAGGCAAAGATCTTAAATCTGCAGGAGCAAGTTAACAATCTCACGCATCTCAACAGAAAGCTCAGCGATATAAAATTAAGTGCCTGTAATCAGTGCGACCATTTGAACGAGTTAAACAAGGACCGACGAGAGCTGAAGCTCCAAGTGAAGACTCTCACTCGCAAATTGGAGAATCTGCAGAGGAAGTTCAGCAGCGAATCGGCGAAGAGCGACGCGCTCATACTGAAGGCCAAAGAAGACGTGAACCTAAGTGCATGCAATTTATCTTTTAATGCCAGTTTCTCGGAGAGCCTGAATGTCAGCTACGCCGAGGAGAGGCTTCAATCGCTGAATAGTGAATTGCAAATTTTGAAGGAAAATCATAATAAACTGTCGGATTTGTATGAGGAGAAGTGTATCGAGGTCGAGGAATTGCAAAATAGCACCATCACGGATTTGATGACTGACGACGTGAATTCCAGCGTCAAGAAAACCCCAAGCAAAATTTCATCGAGGCTGGAAAATATCGCGAAAGGTATGAAAGAGTTGGAAGACGATTTCAAGAAGATAAGAGAAAACAACGAAAGTGTCAAGGTAGATCTCGCGAAGTTCATTAATGAGAGAGAATCGTTACTACATGAAATTAGTACGTTGAAGACCGCTAATGGTGAGCTGCTGCAGAAATTGTCGGAAAGTGAGTTCCTGCACACTACTGCCTTGGAGAAAGTCGATATCCTTGAAAATGAGGTGCAAGAAATGACGAAAAAGCTGCAGGAGTTTACCGTAAGTTACAAAGAGATCGAAAATGCGAAGTTGCTTCTCGAGGTCGAAGTGGAAGGTCTGAAAGAGGAAAAAGCGATGAAGGAGCGGACGGTAAACGAATTGCGTCAAAGCCATTCCTGCCTGGAACACGAGTTGGACTTAACAAAGAAGGAGAAAGAAACGCTTAACAGCGACATCGCTCTTATGGAGCAAGAGCACAAGGAAAAGCTGGAATCTCTGAAGGCGATGAACGAGGAGTTGACCGGCGCTAAAGCGACTATCTCGCAGGAATTCGCTAATTATTCTAAAGATTCGGAAAATAGACTGACGGAGCTTAGTGAGAAGATAAACAAGTGCACCTCCGAGAACGATTATCTGAAACAGGAATTGATCAGGCTGCGCGACATAGAAAATCAATTTGAGAAGATGAAAACCGAGTATCAGTCCAGGTCACAGCAGGACAAGAGATTGGTCGACGATAACAAGAAGATGAAAAATGCGTTGAACGACATTTCTAAGAACATCATTAAGGAGATCAAGTATCTCAAGCCTAAATTCGACGCTCAGGAATTCATGGATAAATCGGTGGAGGAGCTGTTCCAGATATTTGTACAAACCATCGTGGCGAAGGAGACAGAAGTAGTGAAAGCTATGCGAGTGGAATTCGACAAGGAGAGGCAGAAGCTCGAGGATGAAAAACGGCAGAGCGTGGACGCGGAGAAGCGTACGTCGCTGTGGGCGAGAGAACTGGAGGGTGAGATAGAGAAGCTTCAGAGGGAGCTGACCGAGCGAGAGGCCGCATACAAGGAACTTGATATGGAGTTCGCGCGCTTGGAGGATTGTTTCAAGGAGGTCGATCGCGACAGGGAGACGCTGAGAGACAAGAATAGCCAGCTCGAGGCAGAGTTCAATAACTTGCAGACTGAGTATAACAAATATTCGAGGAACGACACGAGGAACGAAGAGGCCGTTATTACCGCGCAGAAGCGAGAGAAGCAGGCGCAAGAGACGATCAGGAGTAAAGAGTCGGAATTTCAGATGAGACTGAAATCGGAGAAGGAGGCGTACAACAAACGAATCGAAGATCTCACGTGCACGATCGAGTCCCTTAAGACGAGAAACATGGAGCTGACGAACACCATCGAGGGCCTCGAGGCTAATCAGAAGCAACTGAAGAACATCGTCGATTTGAAGAACAACGAATTGATGAAGAGCAATCAGATCGTTCAGAAGAGGCAGGTTGAGTTCGAGCAGCTCACGGAAGCCTACAACGATTTGAATAAGGAACTGGAAGAGAAGGAGTTGCACATCGTGGAGATCAAGGAACTTCTGAGAACCAAGTGCGACGAGCTGACGGAGTATAAAACTAATTTCGAGACGATCGTGCCCGAGAACAAGCTGCTGAAGCAACAGATCGTCGAGCGGAAGGCCAACATAGAACAGTACAAGATGGAGATAGAGACCCTGAAGATGGAAAACAAGAAGGAGATAGACGAGATTAAGGATCAGTTGAATTTCGAGGAGCTGAGGAGTGTCGAGCTCAACAAACAGATGGCCGAGTTGAACGACAAGAACGCGGCCCTGACGGACGAGATGAACGTCCTGAGGGACGATTACGCGACGTTACAGCGCAAGTGCGCGACGTTGGAAAAACGAGTCAGGAATAGTACGAGCAAGGTCCAAGCGGAAGAGCAGATAGAAGAGCTGAAGGACCTGAACAGGTCCCTGCGAAACAATTTGGACGGCGCTAGCAATCGGATAACGGAGCTGCAGACCGCGAAGACCGATCTGATGAAGCAGGTGGTCATTCTGAGCAGCCAGTACGACGCGTCGTGCAAGGACAGTCAGGAGTTGAGGGAAGCGCTGTCGGCGTACAAGTCGAGGCACAACGACACGTATACGGCCTGCGAGAGGTACGACGAGTTGCTGCGGGAGAAGAACAAGATCGCGTTGGAGCTGGAGGCGATGAGGGTGCAGCTGAACCAGAAGAGCAGGGACATCGAAAGATATACCGGCGAGATAAAGGCGTTGACGGAGAAGAACGCGGAACTCGATCAGGAATCGGAGGAGCTGGCGCAAGTTATTCGCGACCACGACACCGAGATCGCGAGGCTACAGGACAAGTATTACACGTGTCGCAACGAAGCTGACGAGCTGCGGGACAGGATAAGAGCCCTCGAGAGCGGCGGTCAAAACCGCCTGCCGCTGAGAACGGACGTGTTGTCGTCCTCCGACAGGACCGAGAGGTCGCACGACGACGAGTGCAGTTGCGCGACGTTGAAGAACAAGATACGGGAGCTGCAGCTGGAGGTCGTGTCGAGGAACGGAAAGATCGCGACGTTGGAGCTGCAAATACGCAGCGGTAGTTTCCCGTATCAGATGAAGTGCAAAGAGCTGCAGGAGCATCTGTCGGCGTACACCGACAAGGTACTTTCTTCGTCACGTTCTTTAATTATTACGAACGTTACGATTGAAAATATGTACGAACGCGTGATTTCATATGTGCATATTTCGTTCTTACAGAATAGCGAGCAGAAAGCGGAAATTAAGCGACTGCAGATGGCCCTGTTACGTACGAGCGCGAAGGAATGCGACGTGTGCAAACAGAGACTCGTGAATAGGCGACATCAAACATGCCAGACGATGCCGAGCAATATATTGCGATTTTGCGGCACGAGCAGCGGCATAATCGATGTAAGTATATCTCATTTATCGATAAATACGCGCATTTGGCGCATGTAGTTTACATTGCGTATATTATAAGATCTCAGAAATAAATAGACGTGTTTATTGATAAAACTGGATTGCCACAAAATTGGAGATCAGGGAAAAGTCAAAGAAATTGAAAACGGTCTTTGAAATCAGGGAATTTAACATTTTTTCGAAAATTAAAATTCTTAACTTTAAAGAAATTTAATATGCGTATATCACACACTTATACAGTTTGGTTAGCTAATGTAAACTCTGTTTTTAATAGAGATTTAAAATGCTTCACTAATAGCATTAGAATTTTCAACTTGTCTATTTTTTGTTGGAATTTTAAATTTATTTAAAACTTCGCTAAAATTGTTCCTTTTTTAACTTACAAGTTTCTTGTGTTACTTGTGAACAAATTAATAAAATTAAAATTGACTTCATATTTTTGTAATTCTTCTTTCAAGTTTGTAAATCTTTGTATAATAGCAAGTTGAAGATTCCAATAAGCAGGATTTAATTTTTATCAAAAAGAATCTATATTTACATATTTCTTTCAAGCAGAGGAAAAGAAACGTACGCATATATAAAAGAAAAAGATAAAGGAATACTAACAACTTAATTAAGTGCAAGCAATGTCAACAACAGTAATAGTAATTTATATTGCTAGGTTAAATTGCTCTCTCAACAAAATATTTAACGGTTTCCAAATAGTTTTCAAATCAAACGAACATACAAACAAATTTTTTAATATTATTGAAAGTCAAGGAAATCATGAAATTTTGTCTGGAAGTCAAGGAAAAATCATGGAATTTTAGAATAAAGAATTTGTTGCAACCCTGTAAAAGTAAGAATGAATATGGATCCGTATCTTATGTAACTAATAATTAATGATGTATATTTTTGTACAGGATGACATAAGAATATCGAAATTGGAGAAGGAGAAGCAGATTATGAAGGATGTGTGCCGATCCAGATCGAAGACTATAAAGGAACTCGAGAAGAAAGTAGAGGAGTACGAGAAGTTGTTGCAATCCAACAATTTATGATCTGCGTACTGACCAAATTGACCATTGATTTCTATATGTATATTAAATTAATATGTAATTTACGGCATTTTATATCACGTTGCAATTGACAATAACTAGATTTTAGAAGTTTAACATAACGTAAGGAGCGTATAAAAAATAGATACGGTATTTTTAATGTTACAACGATAATATGATAGTTTTTATATTTTTGTAACGTGCAGAGAACTGCGATTACTTATTTTTTATACATCAACTACAAATAATAATGACATATTTTTCGCCATTTTTGCTGCGTTTCTTAAGATAATGTAATTCCTGTGATATGAAATTTAACTTTAAGATCAAAATGTAAGTTGTGTATATATAAGACTATTATAGGGACCAAGAATTCAATAGTTGTAAGAATTCTATTTTATTCACATTGTCCCTCTTAGATTTACATATATACATATATTATATATTTTTTTCAAAAGCAACGCGTGATACAATTGTATCATTCTAAAAATAAGATCGTAAAAAAAGATTCTACAGTAATTTATGCAGTCTCTGAATGCAGAGTGAAAGATACACGAGATAAAATCATATTGCAGAATAGAACAGAAATTTCAATGAAGAAATAATGTTTAATTATGTTTTTTAATTACATAAAATAATTTAATAATTAATTACTAAGTATTACGATTTTTATGACAAAAAATAAAATGTTTTCCTTTCTGTTTAACAGATTCTGGCGTTAAACAAATTAAAGCTTTCTGAGCGAACTGATTAGTGCTTATTTATTTGATTCATTTCGGAAAGATGTGTTGACATTTTAATAAGTTCAGCGTAATATAACATTTTATTCCCAAGATATTTTACAAATTATTTTTAAAACAATATAATTCCTGTGATATAAGATTTAACTTGATCAGAATATATAGAGTGTAATATATATAAAATTATTACAGAACCGAACTAAATTAGTAGGTATAAAAATTTAATTTTACTCGCAATTGTGCCTTCCAGATTTACACCCTATATATATATATATATATATACAGTTCCAGAAGTAATAATAACGCGTGGTGTTAAAACCGATGTACCATTTTATTAATAAAAATTTTTAATATACAGATTTAGATATTTAAATTGTGGTTTCCTGTTTTAGATTTGTTCTAAATAAAAATTTTATTAATAAAATGATACGATTAAATTTTATTAATAAAATTACCTGATACGATTGTAACACCATGCATTATTACTTTTGAAACAAAATATATGTGTAAATATAGAAGACAATATGACGAGTAAAATTGAATTTTTATAACTATTAAATTAGCTTGTTCCAATAGTAACTTTTATATATACACACACCTTTATATTCTGATTAAATTTAAACATCTCATATCAGGAATTACCTATATTGTCTTAAAAATAATTTATTAAAATTCTGTGTAATATAGCCTTTTATTTCCAAAACATTTTACAAATTATTTAATGTTACTTTAGGATTTTCCGAGTTTCGCTTTCTTCGGCTTGTATCTCGTTATATGCTTATGTGGCCTCTTCGTACCAATTTTTGTTTGGAACAGATCTGAAAATCAATTTTTGCATTGTACTATCAAATTAAATAAATCTATATATTAGATAAAAATCTATAAATCTAAAAATCTATATATTAGATAAAATATTATCGACATTCTGTATATTTACCTTTATCAGGTTCCTCTCCTACTTCCTCACGATAATACTGCGCATCGTCGTCTTCCTCCATTTCGCTCTTTTCAGTAGATTCCTTCGCGATTTTTTGCATAAGCATATCGTTTTCTCTCTTCTTCTGAATTCCCTTCAACGATTTCTCCTTGTGTTCTTGCTTTCGCGCTTCCTTCTTTTTCGTATTTTCTTCCTGCAATCTTTTCCTTTTCTCCTTCAATTTCTTCTTCTTTTCTCTCTTCTTCTCTATCGCAAGTTTCTCCTCTTCCGTTTTGTGTATGAATTCATGGAAAAGCACTTCACCGTCGAGGAGTCCATTCTCCACTTTAATCAACTAAAACACATTCGGTCAACATTAGAAAAATATTAAATATCTATAAATTTGTTGTATTAAAGTTTTGATTAGCTTTTTAACCTGCAACGTTATTCTCGGTCCCAATTCGAATAATCTGATCGCACTCTTGGAATTAGGCTGATTCCCTCTCGAGGACAATTTTTGCGACAGCGTGACATGACTGGTCTCGTCATCCTCTGCTTCACTTTCGGACATGGTCGGTTTCGTCAAAAACTCCGAGATATCTTGACACTTCGATAAATTCGGCACTTTAGCTTGTACTATTTTTTTAATGCCTCTCGACAAACCTACAGGTACAACTTTGATCGCGTAATGTCTAAGGTCAATAGTTTTAGCCGTCGCGTTGTAATTCAAGCATACACAACGACGAATTGTGCTCAGATTCACCTGTAAGAATGTTATTTAATTCTATTTTACAAATTTAATGACTTTGAAAATTGTATTTTAAATCCCGTTTCTTGAATTGGCTGTCTTGCAAAACTTACAGTGGTCAAGTTTATAGTTGGAAACATGTTCTGGAAAGTGGAAGCTATAAGTTTCAGATGCATTCCCTCCCCGCTGAAATTATTTAGTACCAACAGAGGAGAGGTTTTGAAGGCCTCCTCGTATACCAGCTGCTTCTTTGACATAGATACAATGTCTCGTGCTAAGGAGAAACTGTGTACCTTGAAAGTGAGTGTGGGTCCTCTAGGCAACCTGCGACAATATTGAAGATTATTATCTAATAAGTCGATTCTTTAAATTAATTTAAATGATCCCCTTAGCCAAAAAGAACTTTTTCTTAGCGATGAATCTCATTGATACTGTACTTGCAAAGCTTGAGGTACATTCCCAGCTCTGTATTTGTGAATATGCACATGTGAGTGACGTGCAGCACGCTCGAGACAGAGACGAAGTCTTTAATAGCATTCTTCTTTCGAGCCTTCAGGGACGAAGCCGTAAAAGGTTCCATAATTCTGCGAAAGTTTTTAGTAAGCTCGACGATATGGTCTCCTGGCAGCCCACGGTGGAATACAAAGGAATGAGGCGCTTTCACTAACTCTTCCTTCTCGCCCACGTTTATTTGCTTATTGCGCTTTACACATCGGCCCTACATAAAAAAAAAACCGACTCGCATTATGTAATTAGGAAACTAAATCTCTAGCATGTTATTTCCAGCATGTAATTTTTGCTACATGGCGTGTGTATGTAACTTGCCACACAAACGTTCAATAATTATTATATTAACTCAATAATATCTCGTTAAATGTTTTTAAGTAATTTTTAAGTAATTAATTTATATTAACTATAATTGTGTTTGTAAATAACGAGAAAAACAGTACCTTTCTTTTACGTGCCATTATAAGGTTAAGTTAGGCCGGAATCAGAGGTTAGCACGTGGTCAAGGCTCAACAAGTCGAGGAAAGTTCACTTATTATTAAATAAAAATTATAGATTTAAAAAGACAGTAATTTTTACTTTAATTTGAAATATAAAATAATATTATCCTTCCTCTTATTCACTTTTTTCTCGCGCGCTTCTCTCTGGTTACACTCACGTTTCCCACGTGTGTGTACGGTACGTTTGACACTAACGCTCCCTGAAGAAGTGGATGTAAACTACATAGCAACATTTACTTTTCTGCACCGCGGGTATACAATTTGTGGTGTGTGTCCGTGCTACATCCACCTTTCAAGACTGCGGGGGCTTTATTCTCAAAAAATTGCGCATTCGATAATCATATCCTCGTTCTCAAATGCGAATATTTCTGGTGAGTAACGCAGCTTTCGATTTTGTTCCGTGTCATATTGTCTGATTCTATTACATATACAATATGTATATATATATATACACATAATATTTTGATTAGTGTTTGATTAGTGGAGCACGAGGGCATTCTGAGATAACAGCTAGAACTTCACTATTATTAAATAAAAATTATAGATTTAAAAAGACAGTATTTACTTTTATTTGAAATATAAAATAATATTATCCTTCCTCTTATTCATTTTTCGCGACCGTGAATCGTGATCGTGTTTTTATAATCAATAAAAGATTATTAATTACAACTATAGTAATTTGTTTATTTTAATTTGTAAATTTTACATTTTCTAAGGATACAATTTTTAATTGGCAGTTGGCGATAAATTGTCCACTATCGACTAATAAAGCAATTAATTAATAGCACGGCTAATAATTTTACGAACTACAATTATAATTATTGCCCTCATGTATTTTTAATATTATTATATAATAATTATCAATCGACATAATTACATTATTTTCCAATCGATATATTTACACAATCTGCAAACACTTTACATAAAAAGACTGAGTAAAATATAAGAAGAAAATATAATAAGATAAGCGGAAACACTAATTAAAATTCAGAAATTGTGATTCTAAAAATTCCCGGAATTTCATGCTTGAGAATTTAAATTGCGAGAAACAATATTAATTAGTAATTAGCACGAGAAATGTAATGCAATAAATGGCATAAATCGAAGGCCGAGTATTACAATTTCAAATGATATTTTGTCTGTCGTTTCTCTTTCGCTATATCCATGTAATTAGCACGGGCTAGACTGGAGTATTACGTTAACGCAACATACGTGCACAGATTATGATGCATGAATATTTAGATGATGCGTATGTCTGTACATTATAATTGGTGCAACTTCATGCGCGAGGTATTCACGACTCCGAATGTATAAAAACACACATCAAAGCGAATATAATGCCTCATTACACTCGCATTAACGTAAACAGGGCGATAATATGGGAGCCTATGAATTCAATATACACATAATGTGATTTTTCTTTTATGTGCGTGCTTTTGAAAAAAAGAGTTCGATGTTAAGCAAGAGTTTGCGCCCCAAACATCTGGAACATTACATCCGGAATGTTCCAGATTTTTAATGTATTAATTCAATATTATATTTTATCCTATAATTCTTAATTGAAGCTTTACTTCATTAAAGTCATTTTATTATTATTTTCATTGACGAGATGAGACTAATTGTAACAGGTAAAAGATGAGATAGGAAACGTATATAGAGGCAGAGGATGTAAAATTATTTCATGAGAAACTAGGAATATGCGAGACGAGGAAACATTAAATGTCGGATTAGCGAACGTTTAAATGCATGAGACGTGTGCCAACGAAGGAATCGATCGCCGCGCGCCGTGCAGGATAACCATCGTCAATTAATATACAACAAGGTAACGAGAGAAGTTAATCTTGAACTTCTCTCGAGAGAGAGAGCGCGGCGGGCATAATAACAAATTACGATAGAACACTTCCCTTCTCACTGGCATTATGAATACTACGCGAGTGGCGAAGCGGCGGCCGCGGCGGGGAGCCGCGGGACGGAGAGGGTTGACGGCGGTGGTGGCGGTGGGACAGAGATGGGAAACCGAAGAGGGAAGGAAGACGCGCACGCAATGTACTTCATTGTCTCGAAGCGCGGGAACTCGTTAAGCAAAACGAAACTCCTCTCACGGTGCAAAGTTCACGGCTGCTTCACGGGGATCCTTATCTATACCTAGCGCGTGTCTGGGGCCCTCGATTTTTTTTTTTCACCGCCGCGTCGACGTAACGCCGTCGCGCCGCGCCGTCCCTCGCTCTGCCTCGAATCTGCCGCGCGCAGGGCGAGAGAACGGCGAGAGATTCTCATGTAAATCCCGCGCACGCGTTTACTTCGCGTGCATCTCATCCCGCGCTGGCTGGGCTCGGTTACCCCGAGCGAGGGTCTCTTCGTTTGCGGTGTATCCTTAAGCGGCGACAAATTGGTGGAATTTTAACGATCATCGTTCGAAGCGTACGTCGTTGCGTCGGGCAGATTGCCGCGCGTTGACAGATAAACACTTGTGCGCGGCGTCAAGCACAAGCCGCGCAGAACTCCCCGCGCTCGCCGTCGCGCGGACCGCAGATGGCCGCTTGAAAATAACCGCGCGCGTGTGACTCTCGAGAGACAGAGAGAGAGAGAGAGAGAGAGAGAGACCCGCGCGGCGCGAATGGATCGACGCGCGTTCAGCGTTCATTAAGCGAAAATTAATCAGCATTTGCGTCGGAAAAATATAAGCCTCGTGATATATGCGTCAATAACGACGGAAGAATATCCGCTAGATCCGCGTAGTGCCGAGACAATCTTAAACGCATCGCATTATAATCGCCTCTTTCAAGCGTCCCGTCCTCGGCGCTGGCAGGGGGAGGGGGGGGGATGAGGAAGGGAGCGGAAAGCGGTAACTGTTTATTCGCAGGAAGATCCAGGCTTGCGATTTTTCCGTGCGAGAATAAAACGCGTACGTGGATCGTCGACGGATAGGGGAGAGACGGGAGGGATGTAACAAAGGCGCGCGCGCGCTCCGCGAGCGCGTCTCTCGCGTTCCATTTCATACAATTTCTTCGCCGCGCCGCGTTGCAAAAGTCATCGCGACGGCAAGGGGCGGGGGGACGGCCTTTTATAGTTCATCATCAATCACGACGCGGCCGTTTGCTCGCGTTTAATGACCGGCGACAGATGGCGCCAGCGACATCGCGCCGAATGAATCCTGGACGCGCGCGGCCAACCGGACAATCGCGCCGTGCCGAAAGGAAATTAACCGCGCGCCGTCGTCGTCGTCGTCGTCGGCAGCCGGAAGCGCGGCCAGGCCGAAGCGGCCGGCTCACACACGCGAGCCCCCTTTCACACTTCTGTCGCTCGCGCGGTTCCGTTCTCCAGCCGGCGCGGCGTTCCCCGCGCGTTCGCCAGCGTTCGAATCCGACCGCGACGGTGACGGCGACACGACGATGAGGATGTTGATGACGATGAGACGACGAGGACGACGGGCGCGAATAATAGCCGCGAGACGGCGCGCCGGCTGCGGATAAACACTCGCGCGGAGGTAACGTCTGCCAGATGCCGGGCTAGAGAACCGGCTGTGATTTTTGCCGGGCGAACGCGCGCTGATTATACTTGTCGCGACACCCCGAGCGATTCCCCCGTGCGTAGCGCCGCGACGGATTTGCGTCGGATTCAAATGGAAAATGCGAGAAACCCAGACGAGATTCCGAAATTAAATTGACGGAGAAGAGGGTCGCGGATTGATCTGTTCATGTACATTCATTGAATTGCAATAAATCAGACATACCACTTTTATACAATTAATGCGATTACTCTGAAATATACATACATACATATGTACTTATGTGAAATGTTTCGAGTTTTATTCGAAAACGTAAGGTGTACATTTGTCGCGGTTGGCATTTTAGAAAAAAATAGAGAATATCTATTTTCTTATATGAATCGAGAGTAATAATGATGCTTATCAAAATATTAAACATATGTCCCATTCATATAAATTGAACAAAAAAAAATTGTCCTGCGGCGTTACATTGGCACATTTGACGCATCGTATTACACAACTTTGATCTTACATATGGAAATTAATTTTTATGATAGTCGTAAAGACGCGACGCGTCCTCGCCGTTCCGAGACCGCGTCACGTCAATCTCGCTGAAGCGATCAATTCTCGGATACAGTCGGAAGAACGTTCGTCCGGCGGAGCGAGACGCGACGCGCCGCGCGAAACGTTTCTTGAACCGCGAGGGGGGTCCGCACCGCGCCGCACCTCTTCCTTCCTTCCTTCACCGCGCTCCGTTGACGCCGCGCGCCGCGAAGCGGTATAACGCGGCGCGTTGCCACGCGGTGGGACGCACTACGGCACCAGCGAGACCAGCAAAAACGCAACCTTCGTGCTTAAAGCGAGACGAGAGGCACGCCACGGTGACGGACCCGAGGCGCGCACCGTTGCACCTGCATCTCCCTGGCTGCCCTGGCACTCCTACCTTACTGATCCCAACTGCGGGATACCGAGAATGCCCGCGAGCGAAAGAGGAACGCTTCCCTCTCTCGCTCCCCTGTCCCCCTTTTTAGGGGACCCTTCGCAGCGCGCGCAAAAATCGCGGCCTACGACGGATGTCCTAACGTAAAGGCGTTTTACATTTCACGCGTCGAATTTCTCGCGACATATTATTCGAAAACAAAAAAATATTTTTTTTTTTTATACGTTTTGTGAATCTTATCGCTTGGATAGAACTTGGAATTATTTGAATTCTATCCTACAAGTTAGAATCTTACGAAAAAATGAATATAAAATCGATTTTATTGTTATTCGCATGTCGCAATAGAAAAGAAATGTCAGTCGTAGATGGATAGAACTTGGAATTTTTTGAATTCTATCCTAGAAATTAGAATCTTAGGAAAAAAACGAATATAAAATCGTTTTTATTATTTGCATGTCGCGATAAAAAAAAAGTGTCGGTCGTAGATGGATAGAACTTTGAATTATTTGAATTCTATCCTAGAAGTTAGAGTCTTAGGAAAAAATAATATAAAATCGATTTTATTATTATTCGCATGTCGCGATAGAAAAGAAATGTCGACCATAGATGGATAGAACTTGGAAATATTTGAATTCTATCCTAGAAGTTAGAGTCTTAGGAAAAAATAAATAATATCAATTTTATTGCTATTCGCATGTCGCGAGAGAAAAGACATGTCCGTCGTAGGAGAAAGAAACTTACATAATTGAATACGAAAAAACAAGATATAACAAATATTAAGTACTAATTATCTAGTGACTAGTCAGATGTAAAAACATAAAAAAAAAGATAGAAAAATAATAAAAAAAATCTTGGATACTGGAAGCTTGGTCACCAAAAAATAAAATTCTAAAATAAAATTATTCAACAATGAGAGAATACTGATCCGTATGTGTCTACGTAAAGATAATATACAAAAGAAACAGGATATAACATTTCGATCGAGCGTTAAGCTTTTCTGCACCTCGAGCACGAGCAAGCGCTAGAACTCGAAGAGTCGGAGCTGGAGTCGGAGCCAGAGCTAGAACTAGAGCTAGAACTAAAGCTAGAACTGGAGCTAGAGCTGGAGCTAGAGCTCGAGTCGCTCAGCAACGGTTGATGCAAGCTCTTCCCTATGTCGCACCCCTCGGACTCGAACGGACGCGTCATCGTTTTCGCGCGTCGCGACGGCGAGGGTGGCATGCTCGCGTCGCTGTCGCTACCGCTCGCGCTCAACGTCGACATCTTCACTCCCATTGTCGCGCACACCTGTTTCGGTTCGGGCAGATCGTAGCTGATGGTCCGTACGCCATACATGTCGCAGACGATCTTCCTGGGCTCTCCCGGCTTCTGCCGGCTCTCGACGATGCGCGTCCTCCTCGGCTTGATCAACTGGCTCTCGCGGTCGATCCTCCTCAGACGCGGCAAGCCGTATATGACGCGCCCCGTGCGGAGGGCAGACACGTCGTCCGAACTGTCGTCCTTCAACGGGAAGTTGAACATCTCCTCGGTGTCCTTCACGTAAAATTCGGTCTCGAGGAAGTTCGCCGCGTACAACGGCGAATCGCCGCCGTCGTCGTCGTCGTCGACGTCGCCGCCGCCGCTCATGTCCGCTTGTTCCCTCTTCACGTCGCAGTCGCTCGCGTTGCACGAGTCATCCGCGTCGGAGATCGGACCCGCCTGGGGTGTGTAGTAACATCGCGCGATGATGTCCAAGGCATCGATCAACGATCCGTCGCGATCGCGTGCGGGTACTCGTTTCATGTTCGCCTCCCTCTCGTCGTCCGATACCGACATCAGTTCCAAATCGCTCGCTTCCAAGGCATCGCCCGTGCAGTTTGCCTGCCGAAAAGATTTTCCATTAATCGCGAATCGAAGTAATCGGCGTTGGTCGCCGTTAATATCCTTCCTTTCTCGCGTTTATAAAAGTATTTCAGGATGGCTCATGTTATCCTCGATGTTTTATTTAAGAATATTATTTACATCACGTCCATTAATTTCATATTCTATATTTATCTACCATTAGAATTCTAATATTAATCCAATAAACTCATTTTCAACGATTTATAATTCGTGTTTAGATTCTAAAATTTTACTTCTAATTTAATGTGCCCTGTGTCACACAAGACAAAACATTACAAAAAAATTCACACATTTACACGTATACCCACATATATTTAAATACATCAAAATATACACATACAAAATTATAAATAGAGGAGGGAATTCCATCTCTCATAAAAAATATAGCACAAATTATAGAATTCTATTTTATGTTTGATGCGAATTATAGATCGTCGAAAATGAATTTTAACAGATTATTATTAGTAATGTTCGCTAATTAGATTAATTCATAGAATATAAAATATGTACAGTCGTGGACACACCGGTTGCGACACTTTTTCTTTATAGATTTCTAATATATATTTAATATACATAATATATACTTTATATAGATAACTAATATTTTGCAAATGCGAACCACGATGTTCTATCTTTAGTCTGGAGACAGTATAACACCAATCGCGGTCCACATTTGCAAAATATTAGTGCGTTTTGAAATCTATAAAAAAGAAAGTGTCGCAACCGATGTGTCCATGACTGCACATCATCGTTATATTATATAAAAAGTTAATAATTACAAGATTATTAAACTTTACGGACTAACATAATTATACAATATAACGTACGAATATTTTTAGAATAGTCTTGAATGTGTTACGACATGCGTGCAGGTCACGTGTTATGCCATTCATGACGACTCTCAACACCGCGAGAAACGCAGGAAACTGTAAAAAGGTTAAAGGAGTAAGGGACAAGGGGCTATAATTTTGTTCATCTCGTTTTTCTTACGTTCCAATTGACTCACCCTTCTGACGGAGACGAATGGGATGTCCAGGTAGCGCGAAACAGGTCTGTACCACGTGCTGCAGCCGCTGCGCGTGTTGTGATAGTACACATGGTCGGGACAGCTCTTGGATTGGCATTGAATCCAGCCATAGTTTTCCTCGAACTCGCCGAATTCGTACACGCGACACGACTGTGGCTTCTCCGCGTTGCTGCTGCTGCTGCCGAGGCTGCTGTTACTGCGAGAAACGCCGACGCCGCTGTAGTAGTACGGGTAATTGTCCTCGTCGCTGTCGAAATCGGTGATAGACGCGGACGGCGAGAACATTCTGATCGGCGGCAGTGTGCGACGAGATACCTCATACCACTCTCACGCGAAAGTCCGAAAGCGAGCGGCCTGCGTGAAACAAAACATGTCCGGACGAACGCACGTGACGCTTGCAATGCAGCAATCCTATACACAACATCGATAATCGACATCTAGCGGTGCTGTGACGATATTATTATGAATGACAGATTCCGCGGCGACACAAAGCGGTGCGTTCGTGCATATTGCGCTAGGTTTTCTACGCGCAGAAGAGGCGTGCCTGTAGCGCGTATGAGCGGCCAAAGAAGAGCTTTCAAACTCCTATATTTATTTCAACTATACGCGAGTGTTATGCATACCAGATAACTCTGTGTATACTAATAATATGTATGCACTTTTGAAGCGGCGAAATACTTTTGCACGCGAACAGCCAACTCTCTTTGCACACGCCTCTGTTGCGCCTTGCGGTCGTGCATGACAACAGCCGTACTTTAATGCAATCCGAATGAACGTAACGCGAGTATCAGATTATCGTTATGCTGGTGATCGAGAATCGCGAATCGGAGATTCAGAATTTAGAAAAGAATTAAGATAAAAATTAAAATTAAGATTATCTGATTAGCCGAATTCTAATGTCGATCTCTCTTTTTTTTCGCAATCTTCAATCTTTAATATGTATATAATCTGATATAAACTTTAAAATTTGGATTTCGATTAACAACTCCGATTAACTTCATTCAAGATAGAAATCTACTTACATTTTTATTTTTATTATTCATGTCTTTATTTCATTATATATTTTTATATCTTTTTTCGTAGAAGGCGACATCGAGAAAAGTTCGTTTTACATTTCCAATTTGTTTTCAATCAATTGTTGAATTATTATCCGCCTATGTAATAATCGCTGACAGCTGAATAGCCACGTGCGCTGACCGCTAGATTCATCTCGCCATTCCGTTCTCGCGTTTTTTTTTTTATAATCTTTGAAAAATCTTACAGGGCTTTGTGAAGCCTACAAAACAGGTCAGCAGGGCCGACTGACCGAGAACCGACGGCCAAGCTTTTTTATCCATCTTTTTTTCCGGAAGGAACATCGGGAGAATACGTAATGCAATATAGTCGGCGTGCATCCCGATGCGCGGCTTATTATTCGCGGCCGCGCGCGTGCATAGTTTTTATTATTCGCGACGTATCTCGAGAGCGTTCCCGCCGAGTTCTGGTTCCCGTTCTTGTTCCACATATCTTTCTCCCTTTTTTTTTTCACAATAGTCGCTTTTCCCTGAAATTCTTAAATTCTGGTTTAGAATACGCAATGAAGACGCACCAGCTGCCGCGCGGTTATTCGATACGCGCGGGCGTTTCATCGTCCGTCCTTTGTGTACAGCGATTATTTAGGCAGCCTAATTATATCTTATTATTCTTATATTTTTTCATATATGTGATCTATTCTCTTAAATAAGATTTTAAATCTTGAATGTATGACTTTTCGAAAAAATTTTGCAAAAATTCCATAGAAAAACGTTTTCAATAATTTTACGTTAAATACTGTCAAAAGATTGTCTTCAGTGTCTCGAAAATCTATAAATTTTTAAGATCAAAAATGTAAGATTAAAGATGTGTATCGCAAAAAAAATAAATAAATACTGTATAAAAATTTTTCTTATGCATCTCCAAGGATTATATATTTCCCAGAATTTTCACGAAGTTCTAAACGGATAAATGTTGTGACTTTAGCTATATATACAATTATATATAGAATAAATAAATGCAGTTTCAGAGAATTGTAAATATATCTGTACATTAAATTACACTGTTACAAATTCGATTTCTGGCTTTAGCTCTGATTCACGTAGCGACAATGAAAACGAAAAAAAAACTGAATTAGTCTCGACTAACCGGTTAAATGTGAAAACTGAAAAGCAGTTTACCGTTAACTTACCTGCTACACTCGACAGAAAAATCCTTGACAGCGTCGCGCAATAACTTCGCCCAAACTGCTAAAAAAAAGTTGCGCCTTATGATTTACAGACGTGATTACAAAACTTTTCCGTTGTATATTATTAAGCACATGCACGCGGCGGCATCGTCGGAAAATAATAAGCACACAGAGAATCGTCATTCATTTCGACTTTTCCTTTCAACTGACAAAACATCGCATCCATGTCGTCCTTTTTGCGAAGGATCCCTATCGTAAACTTGTTAAAAAATTTCTTTCTATTAGGGAACTGGTGCGATAGATATATAGAACAGTCTCGGGCGGATTTTTTTACAGCTGTAGGAATTTTTTAGTTTTATTTACTCTCCTTCCGGTATATTTGAAAAAAGTTATATAATGCCGTATCTAATGCCAAAGAATCTTTTTCGCCTTTAAGTTGCACCCGTTTGCGGCCGCAATTACGGAAAACGCAGCGAGGATGTGCGGCGAAGAACGAATTCGCATAAAAATTCAGGAAGCTCGTCGAATTGCCGTAAGGACACACACAAAAAAGGATAGACCGGTAGGTCTAACGTGAAGGATCCTGTAACTTGAGAATTTTTCTCGGACCTTTGATCGTAAGGCGGGGGAGTTCTCTTTTTATTCGTTTCCCTTTGGATCCGCTTTAGATCACGCACGGATGTGCGCGATATGAAGTTTCCTCATTCTTCTCTCTCTCTCTCTCTCTCTCTCTCTTTCTTTCTCTACTGCTTTTACCGAACGGTCACATTCGAGTACCTCCAGTTTTATGACCGCATCGCGCTTCAAGGACAGTACCTTGACGTCTAAAAATAGACGTAATGAACGATCAGGTAAGATCGACCGATCACTTCGCTCCGTTATAATATGCAATGCGGGCGTTTTACTGAGATACGATAACAAAGAAACTTGAAAAGGGAGGATAGTTTTGTAATAAAATCGGTCGGCTGAAGAACATGAGAGAAAGAGAGTTTCATTGGAGAGTAATCATCATCGTCAAGGTGTTTTACGCTGAAATACTGTTTCTTACGTGCAAATACATCTCGCAATACAATTGGAACAAAAATATATTTAATCATTAAAGACGCGAGATGTCACATGTCACGTAAAATTGTCATAAAATGTAGACAGTATTATTGCAAAATTTGTTACAAGATCAGTGTTAAAAAAAATGTTAAAATGTTAAACAAAATACTGCTTACATATGATCTTTGATATTCTACAATAATCGAAAAGTTGAACATGTACGCTCCAGTACTAATATCGCGAAAATACGCGTTAAGATTTCATTGCAGTGTGCGGCGCGTTCTTTCTAAGCTATCTTCGATGAAGACAGTGCAATAGACTCTATTTTCGTATTCGCGAGCTAAACGCTTATTCCAATCTCCGCGCGTGATAAGGTACGAGTAGGAAGTGCCGGATACGATAAGAGATACCATCGCCGGTAATCCTCGACAACGAATCGCGCGCAAAAATCCTTTCCTCCCGCTTCCTCCTTCCCTCCCTCACGAGAGAAGGTTACCTCCTCCCCGGCGATCGTTCACGGCGTTCACGCCTGAGTTGTCCCTTCGTCGCGCTATCGCCTCGTTCGTGGAATCTGTCGTGAGGAAATGTAAAAGGAAATGTAAAAGACCGATCTCGAAGAATTTGTAGTTTAAAAGGATCTTTGCACGCGCGCACGCGGTTGAGCGAACACGGGGACGACGACGACGACGATGTCGATGTCGACGACGGAAGAGGAGGGAGGGGGAGGAAAAACGAAGCGCGAAGAAATGCAGAAGAGGAGGAGAAGGATGACGAGAACTATCGAAGAGCGAGGTTCGCGCGGGCGATGTGGTGACGGTGGCGAACGACGATGGTGGTGTTGTGACGATGGCGGTGGTGGTGGTGGTGGTTTGGACCGTTAGTTGGCCCCGGCGGGAGCGTTGTCCGGGCACACAGCGCGTTACTATTCCCCGTCCTCCTCCTCGCCGTTCTCTCTTTCTTCTCCTCCGTCGCTCCGTATCTCTTCTCTTTGCACGACGTGCTCTCCCTTTCTCCATCTATTCCTTCTTTCTCCTTTCCATCTGTACACCTCTCTCGCGGTCAAGCTCTCGCCCGCGTTCCCGCGTTCATTCTACCGCGGACTTCCCCGTGCCGGGGGCCGCCGCCGCCGTGCCGGTTAACCAATATGGCCGGTGATCCGGTCTCTCTCTCTCTCTCTCTCTCTCTCTCTCTCTCTCTCTCTCTTTCTCTGCCTTCCCTTGCTAGTCCGCGCCGGCGAAGAAATCACGCGGCAAAAAGGCGCACCGCGAGGTATTCACGTTTTGCGCACTTGAATCCGAGCTATTTCGCTGTACTGCCCGACGCTTGATTTTATCCGAGAAATTTCGCTCGTTCGAGGAAGACGTCCAGACTCTCCGTCTGCCCTCCATTGATTCGAATCGATTCGAGGAGCGTTTGTCAGTCGTTCATTTTCTTTTTTCGAACGTCTGCGTATCGGAGATATCCAATGACGGCATTGATGAAGTTTTGCAGGATCTGTAAAGAATATTTTGACGCTATTAATAATTTTATAAAAATTAATTATTTTAGTTTGATTATACAGAAAGCAGATAAAAATAAATACATTTCTCTCTTTCGCGAATAGTTAATTGTTACTCACAAAATATTATTGGCTACTAAACTAGCTACTTACAAAATAACTGCGTATACAAAAACATGTGAAAAAGAGTTTTATGACTTATAATTTTGTGACTCTGGTAAAAAATGCCGCTTTGTAAAACTCCAGATTTCTAAAGAACTATATTTAGACTATATTGTATATAAATCGCTTAGACGAGCTTTTTACCGTTAATGCAGTGGACAGCTACAGAAAGAAAGGAGTATTTATTGCTCGTCATTCTTAACACAGGTCACAAAATTTGAGTTTTATAAGAAGATACGAGATTCAGCAGATGGTACAGGATAATAATTCCACTCACGGTACTGTGATTTGATAAATTTGAACAATCCCTTGAAATTAAAATTTAGACAATCCCTGGAATTTTCTTTAATTAAAATTAATATTAATATTCCTCTACCTGATTCCTCAATTTTTAGCTGATTAGTTAACAAAATCAGTAACTAAACAAAATTAATTAATTTTTGTCAATTTTAATGATCATAAATTATTATTAAAAATTATTCTTTTAACAGTAAACAAATAATTATTATAACCGTTTTGTACACCAACTTTCGAAATTTTTTCTCTTTAATATCCTAACTCGCGCAACACCTTTATGTATTAGATATTCGCGAAAAGAGATTAAATATGATTGGAGCACCAACTGCGACGAACACAGTTTCACCAGAAACGCGACATAAACTAGGAGGCTATTGATCGAATGTTCGTATTCGAGACTGTCGACGAAACGACATTGTTAAACGAACTGAGTGCCGACTTGATCGCTGGGCCAGTGGGTCCCCTCGTCTGCTTCTCCGCAAGGATAACAGTTCACGGGTGTACCGTTCGCGCTAACGTTATCCGCGCCGTTTTAATATCGTATCTCCAACTTCGTCATGATGATCGAAAGTAAGAAAGTGAATACCTGGGTGGGTGAACGCGGCCAAGTTACACATATACGAAAATAATCAGGTCCAGAGACGTCCTAAATATGCGATTTAAATACCTCAATACCTCATTAACTACATATCACGGCATTACTGCAATAGTGTCATATCTCGAAAAATGACAATTTTGAGTTATTCATAGGAAAAGATGGATTTTGGCGTGTACTTTTATCTGGTGATGAATAACTCAAAATTGTCAATTTTCGAGATATGGCACTATTGCAGCAATGCCGCGATATATAGACGCGTAATGGAAAAAAAGGAATTGGATTGGATATTTTGGATAATATACGTGTTAAAAATCAACGGAAAACGTTATTGAAGAGGTCACCTGTTCCATTGACATTTTGCTCAACGTATATAATAATTCACTGAGAAGACTTCTGCATATCTTCCGTCTGGCTAAATCCAGGATTATCTTTTGTATATGAATTTACATATACAATAATTTTATTGGAATACGTCCGTAATGATGACAAATTATCGTGACGAAGGAATATAAACGAAAAGAACGTATAGATCTTTACGCTATACTATAATGGATATACATTAGAGACCGACCGACCGGATAACGATCGCAGAAACGCACTACGCGGAATAATCTCTCCGCCGCCGCGGCTCGTTCGTGCGTTGAACCTTGCGATGTGACCTTGTTAAAGAAACAGCTAACGGGGACAGCTACGACACTAGAGATCGCGATGCCGATATGGCGATCCGATTCAAATGTGCGCCGCGCCCTTGACACGTGCGCAAATAGCAAATGGTGACGGCACGAGTCCGAGTCGCGATCGCAATTGGATAGATACAACGCGAAATAAGACTCGGGCTCGCGTATAGTTGTGTTACCTTGACCCTTCACGTGCCCATCCACGACACGAAATGCCTTTTATCCAGAATTCAAACCACTTTAAATTTTCCCTTAAACATCTCCGCCGATCAAGATTGTAAAGAAAACTTTCGCAAGCGTATAGCGTAGCAAGAGACGATTCTCATTTAATTTTGCGAGCGAGAATTCTCGCAAAACGTTAATCCTTTAGCTACGGTTGGAGCTGTACACGTATAGCTCGGTCGCGAAATTCGACTAAAGAATTAGCGCGCGTTCTTTCGATAAAACAAATTCAAACGAAAATAATTAAAGACATTTTTGCTTGATACTGACAAGAGGTGGGATAGAAAAAAGCCATTACAGTAGCGTTTTAGCTTAAAATTACCATTTAGGTGTAGAGGAAAGCCACTGTAGTTTCGTTCCAAAGAATGGCCGTTAGTAAAAAGCAGCGGCGTGTATAAGTATAGCTAAAGGATTCATAAAACATCTATTCGTTCGACCGTCCGTTGTATATCCACGTACAACTTCCGATCGTCATCATTCCGGTAAATTTTCGCGAAAAACCGACGTCGATTTCTCGCTCGGCGGTTCCACTCCGCTTTAAGTCGCGTCACGCTCGCTCGTTATAACGATTAGATCCAAATACGCGGCTTGACGAACGCTCTCACGAGCCTGGTACGGGGCTTGCGAGACGGTGGAAGGTTGCCCGTTATAGCCGGGTGATACACAAGCTCGGCGCAAAAGCGCCGGGAGGCGCATCTTCTCGCGCCGGACGAAAGTAGGATCGCGCTCGATTTTCACTCTCCGTGTTTTCGATTACATAAGTAGCCGCTGTGTGAACGCGAAGACGCGCGGCTTACGGTTTAATAAAACAGTTATGTTCGCGCTTACGCCGCGCCGCGTGCACCTCGACTCGTGCGCGTTACACCACGACTCCACCTTCGGGACGTTGGCGTCTTATCGGCGAACGCGTTTACATGTCAAGTAACGTGGCGAACAGTATACGTTGCTTTCTCCATTGATTTACATTAGCAAGATATGCTGACGAGACATTCGATAATATAACGAGCCAAGAAACGTAAAATTAATTAATTTAAAGTTTGAAAATTACAAATCGATTATTTATAGAAGATAATACAAATTTAAAGGAGAATCGAATCGCGGCATTGATGGGTAGTTTATTATTACGTCCACTATGTAAAGCACATATCTAAAAAGGGTAATTAAAGGAGATAACCAGATTTTTGAGTTATTGATGGAAATCAGAGCGGTATGTAATATATTGAGAATATAGAGATTGATGCGCTCATTTCTCTCGTACGAGGATGTAAAACTTGTCTCCCGTCTGAAGACGTCTTCAGGAGCCACAACTGAGGTCACGAAACGGTGGACACTTTCGCTCATCATGTCCTTGGGAAGGTTGAAACGCATCTGCTGATCCGGGGGATTACCTTACAGTATGCGTAACGCGCGGTGCGACACGATACACGTTCCGTTAGAACGAGCCTACTGACTCGATTCGCCGGCGCTGGATGAACAAGTGCAACCAGCTCGAGGCGAGCCTCGATCGCATTAACGTTAAGAGTCAGAGATAAAGAGAGAGAGGAGAGAAATTTAATTAATCTCAATTAGCTTAATTAAATTTATTATTATCTTCCAAAGCATAATTGAAGAAGAAAAGGAAATCGGCTAAAGAACTTATTTCCAATCACTTTTTAAATCGACGCTTTTAAAAGATCGTAGAATGTTACAAAGTCGTGGAAAGTTTTTTTCATTTTTTTAAAGATATGGAGACAGCTCGGAAATAAATTTTCAACTTTAAAGCAATGCAAATGGAGGGATGTTTTATTTACTCTGCAAATATTCGAATCTAGTCGACCTACTTTGATGTTTTAAACGTGATATACTCGTAAGGATCTTAATATATTTAAATTTTCTGATTTCGATTGCGCCGTTCTTTCCCAAATTGATCTTCGCACGATACAGAGAGAGAGAGATGAATAGATATGATTAAAATAACGAATTTAAATATAAATGCCTCTGCATTTAAATATCTCCGCGAGCCTTTTATTGCCGGTTGATTATTAAAGAGATACCCCGTCTCTGAAGTAAGTACTTTCTTTCTCGCGCAAGTTTTAGCTATACTTCTGTCGACGTAATTCTTCCGCGCTTTACGATTACAATGAAAAACGCCCTTTTCAAGAATCGATTACCTGTCGGGAAGTGAACAAAGAAATCGGAGATTGGCGCCTTTCTTACGGAAAGAGGCTGCCTCGCCCAAGTAGGCGTGATGCTTCTTTTCAGCGTGAAAGGATCGCAGGGATTCCACCCATCAAGTGAACGTCCTAAGACGCCCGTCGGTTTGCCGTGTAAATATACTCGACTCATGCACCACTACGCACACATATGTATACGCACACATATGTATACACACACGTACATACATTCACACACGCGGACCATCTAACATGCCTGTCCCATCCCGTGAAGCGTCTAACGGTGCCCGGGTTGGAACATTCGGCTATTAGCTAACCCCGGGTTGCGCAATTACGGTTGCGCAACGCGGCAACATAATCCGTAAAAGTGTTACAGCAGAGCGGAATAAATGCCTCCCGTCGCCCCCCGGAGAGCACTGCTCCTCCTCCGTCGTTGATTCCTTTTTCGGTCTTTCTCCATCACGTCGTTTTCTCTCCGTCGTCGTCGGCACGAGGCGCGAGACGGGAAAAGACGGATTACTCTCAAACTCTCACTCCAGCCTTGACCCACTGAACCCCGGCTATCGCGATCTCACGATCTCACCGAATCTTTTTCTCTCTCGCGAGAGACGACGCGACCCGACCGCTCGATCGCGAAATGATTGCGTCGATTTTCAAAATGCGACGCAACGATGAATTTCGATAGATAGGCATCGATCGTATATTCGAAGAGGAACGCCAATCGCGATTTTCGTTAAAATTCTGTTTAATAATTATTAAATATGTATAATGTTCCCCCTCGTTTCCCTCCCATCTGTAATTTTATTACGCACATTCACATCCGTGCACGCGATAGGACGATTTATCATTTGATTGAATTCATTTACTTTTCCGCGCGCGACGCGGCG